GGGAGAGAATGACCTACTGCCAGCTGGCCTCGATCTGGGCAACCTTACCCCAGTCCCCCTTTCCCCATGCTCCCTCCCCCTAACTGCCTTCCCGGGTGAGCACCCTGCAGAAGGTGGTCCACCACTTGATGCCATGGCTGCCAAATCTACCACAGAGCCTGTGCCTAGCATCACTGGGAGCCCCCTCCACACCCCCTTAACCCTCGAATCTCTTCGGGAGGCACCACCTCTCAGCTGCTTGCCTCCCGAAGCCCAGAGCCTCGCCTCTGCCCCCACCCCGACCCCCACCCTGTCCCTGCCCAATCCACCTCCTCCTGCAATGGTATTGCCACCCCTGGGGTTATTTCTTTCCCGTTTTTTGCGGATCCCCCCCAAGGAGCAGCCTTTGCATTTTCCTGCCGCGATCTATTAGGAGCTGCAATTTTCCTTCCGCCATCCCCTTCTACCCCAAGGCTTGAGACGGACCTAATAATTTTAGCCTGTCAGATGCTCCGTCTGTGGTCTGCACCCTGCCTGCCCACCTCAGCAGACCACGAGTCTGCACCAAGAGCCCCACCAGGGAATAACCCAGAAATCGCAACCCCACCCCCCCATGAGCTGTGAAAAGCGTTGCGAGAGTTTTTAGAAAATATCCGTGGCTTCCGCAACAGGGTTCAGCTAGCTCTCCAGCTATGGGGGGACTTTGATCAAATCCTCCAGGCCACAAGGGCCCTTATAAAGGAGGGTAAAGGGAAAGGAAGTCACGGTGCCGCAGCCTACGGGCGGGCCTGCAGCTTCCATGACAATTTACTCACTTACGGGATGGGTCACAGATTGTTACGCGACCCACCGGGGCTGCGAACACCCCCGCCAACAAGGAAGCTCCACCCCCCCAGCCCTCTGCATGACGCCTCTCATTATTGCAACTTTGAATACCAGGGGCTGTAGGATGGCTCTCCGCAGGTCCCAGGTGCTCTCTTACCTTCGGGAAGGGGGGTACTCTGTGGTTTTCCTGCAGGAGACCCATACGGATCCGACCGCCAAGGACAGCTGGCGGCTGGAATGGGGGGCTGAGGTCTACTTCAGCCACTTCATGATTCGACAAGCTGGAGTGGCGACCCTGTTCTCCCCCAACCTATGGCCCGAGGTGCTAGGGATCACTGAGGCCGTGCCGGGCCACCTGCTGCATCTCTGAGTCCATATGGAGGGGCTCGTGGTCAACCTCGTTAACATCTATGCCCCGACAACGAGCCCGAAATGGCCGCAATTCTATCAGAAGCCCTCCGTCGCATGCCCACCAATAAATCTCCGGGCATGGACGGGCTGACCGTGGAGTTCTACTGTGCGTTCTGGGACATCCTTGGCCCAGACCTGGCCACTGTCTGGGCCGAGTCTTTGCAGGGCGGGGTCCTCCCTCTTTCGTGCAGGCGAGCGGTGCTCGCCTTGTTGCCGAAGAAGGGGGACCTCTGTGATTTACAAAATTGGCGTCCCGTCTCGCTCCTTAGCACGGACTACAAAATCGTAGCGAAAGCAATCTCACTGCGGCTAGGGTCCATGATGGCGGATGTGATCCACCCAGACCAGCCCTATACCATCCCGGGCTGCAGCATTTTTGATAACCTATTTCTAGTCCGAGACCTTTTGGAACTCGGGCGTAGAGACGGTCTGTCGTTCACCCTCCTGTCTCTTGATCAGGAGAAGGTGTTCGATAGAGTGGACCATGGGTACCTCCTGGGCACTCTGCAGGCTTTTGGATTCGGACCTCAGTTTGTGAGTTTTCTCCGGGTGCTGTACGCTTCCGTGGAGAGTCTGGTTAGGCTCAACTGGACCCTGACCGAACTGGTCAGCTTCAAGCAAGGAGTATGGCAGGGGTGCCCCCTCTCGGGCCAGCTGTACACTCTGGCAATCGAGCCCTTCCTCTGTCCCTCCGCAGGAGGTTGACGGGCTTGGTGCTGCGGGAGCCGGAGCTGCGGCTGGTCCTGTCGGCGTACGCCGATGACGTCCTCCTCGTGATCCAGGACCCGGGCGACTTGGCACGGGTGGAGTCTTGCCAGGCCATCTATTCGGCAGTCTCCTCCGCCCAAGTAACTGGGTCAAGAGCTCTGGCTTGGCGGTAGGGGACTGGCTACAGGTGAGCTCCCTCCCACCTGCCCTTCAGACCATCCGATGGAGTGTGGGTCCACTGCTCTACCTAGGCATTTACCTTTCTGCCACGCCCCCTTCTCCGCCAGAGAATTGGCAAAATTTAGAAGGCGGCGTGATAGAACGGCTCCAGAAATGGACGAGGCTACTCCGATGTCTCTCCCTCCGAGGGAGAGCACTGGTGCTTAACCAACTAGTCCTGTCCACGCTCTGGTACCGGCTCACCACCCTGGTCCCGGCCCCGGGTTTCCTGACCAACCTCTGGACATCGATTCTAGAGTTCTTTTGGTCAGGAATGCACTGGGCCCCTGTTGGGGTTCTTCATCTACCCCTGAAGGAAGGAGGGCAGGGCCTGAAGTGTCTGCACACTCAGGTCCGTGTCTTCCACCTCCAGGCCCTGCAGAGGCTCCTTTATAGTGCAGGTAGTTCGACGTGGAGCATATTGGCGCATGCCTTCCTGTGCCGCTTCCAAGGGCTCCAATATGACCGGCACCTCTTTTATCTTTGTCCGAGAGGTTTTCTGCGAGACCTCGCCGGGCTGCCGGTCTTCTACCAGGACCTCCTCCGGACCTGGAAACTGTTTTCAATGACCAGGTCCATGGCGGCCACCATGAGAGCAGATCTCCTCGCGGAGCCCCTGCTACACAACCCCCAGCTCCGTGTGCAGGCGGCGGAGTCCCGCTCGGTGCGCCAGAGTTTAGTCCTAGCGGAAGTCATGAGAGTCGGAGACCTCCTGGACTACGACCGGGGAGACTGGCTGGATCCCCTGACGCTGGCTCGGTGCATGGAGCTCTCCAGACCTCGTACCCCCCGGCGCGTACTTCAGTAGGTGAAGGCCGCCTTGATATCTCAACCGAGCCCTGCGCGAGGGCGCACCCCGCCCACCCTCTACCCCAGGCCCGCCGGACCTTTCAATTGGGCCCCTACCCTGTAGATCCCAACAAACCCCTCACACTTTCACTGCGAGCCAGCTGCATGAACTGCAGCTGGTCAGCTTCCAAATTGCGCCACGGAAATGTCTATACACACTCACGCTTCACACCCTTCACGCCCACACCCTGGTGTCCCGCCCCGATACAAAGTGGCAGAACCTCCTGCCACCTTTGGAGGGTGAGCTACCCCGGTGGGCCAGCCTGAGGCCCATTGGGAACATTAGTTGGCGGCTTCTTCACGGAGCTGTGAACACGGGCGTGTTTTTGACACGGTTCACCCCCATCCCGGATACTTGCCCTTTTTGCAATGTGAGGGAAACCCTGGCGCACGTATATGTAGAGTGTGCCAGGCTGCAGCCCCTTTTCCGCTCCTCCCGAATATTTTATTAAGCTTTTGGCTACACTTTTCCCCTCACCTTTTTATCTACACACTCCCCATCCGTGGCCCCACAAAATCGCGAGATCTCCTGGTTAACCTCCTCCTAGCCCTAGCTAAAACAGCCATTTATAAAACCAGAGAGGGGAGGTTGGCTAATGAAGCGTCCTGCGATTGTAGGGCTGTTTTCCGATCCTCAGTACATTCACGTATCCGGGCGGAGTTCCTCTGGGCGGCATCCACCGACTCCCTTGACGCCTTCGAGGAGCGGTGGGCGCTGTCCGAGGTTCTCTGCTCAGTGACCCCGTCCGGTTCCCTCCGTCTGACCCTTTGATTGAGGGGAAGAGCAAGAGACCCCAGCCCCAACCATTGCCGCTGTGGATACCATTATCACCACCACCTAGGAGGGGCCCTTTCACACGTGGGTGTACGTGCCCCCCCCTCCCCCCAAACTGCCCACCCCGCAGCCTTGCCCATCTTGTTGGGCACTCTCAGGAGAGGAATAGTTGGCGACACTGGGCGTGGCACTAGGTAACTCGAGGGGGTGGAAGACCATGAGTGTCGAAGAAGCCCCCCCGCTCTGGGCCCAGGCAAGCCTGAACACTTCTCTCTCCTGAAGGCTGCTGTGTTATACATTGCGTTTGCTTTTGTTTTGTTGCATAGTTTTGTTTTATTTTCTTTGGTGATTTGTGTAAGTGTGTTATGCAAATAAATTTTTTTCTGCTTCAAAAAAAAAAAACTTACTCTCCTATAGCCACCTGGCCCGACCCTGTCACACAGCATACTATTCAAGAACAAGGCGAAATTTGTGCCTTGGGAAAGTTTTTAACCTAAATTGGTAAAAATAAGCTTAGGGGATCTTTCATGCAGGTCCCCAAATCTGTACCCTAGAGTTCAGAGTGGGGACGGAACCCTGACAGGGGCACAGGGGCAGAGTGCAGGGTGGGGTTGTGTGAGGGGCACAGGAGCAGAGCACAGGGTGGGTGAGGGTGAGAGGCACAGGGCCAGAGCACAGGGCCGGGCTCTGAGAGGGGCACAGGGACAGGGCAGAGGGCAGGGGTGTTTATGATGGGCACAGGGGCAGAGCACAGGGCTGGGTTGTGTGAGGGGCATGGGGCAGCACAGAGGACGTAGGTGGGTGTTTATGATGGGCACAGGGGGTGCGTGGGTGGGGCTGTGTGATGGACACAGGGCTAGCATGGAGGGTGTAGGCTGGGGTGTTTGTGAGTGGCACAGGAGCAGAGCGCAGGGCGGGGTTGTGTGATGGGCACAGGGGCAAGGCGCAGGGCAGGGGTGGGTAAGGGGCACAGGGGCAGAGTGCAGGGTGGGGTTGTGTGATGGGCACAGGGATAGCACGGAGGGTGTAGGCTGGGGTGCTTTTGAGGGGCAGAGTGCAGTGCTGGGTTGTGTGATGGGCACAGGGGCAGAGCACAGGGCAAGGGTGGCTGAGGGGCACAGGGGTAGCATGGAGGGTGTAGGCTGGGGTGTTTGTGAGGGGCACAGGGGCAGAGTGCACATGAGGTGAGTGCAGGTGCTGCAGTGGAGGCCATGGGCAGCATAAGGCCTGTTACCTGCAGGAGAAGGCAGTTGAGGTTGACCTTGTCCTGGGCAAGACCTTCAGTCAGAGCCCCCATCTTGGCCAGTGAGTCTCTCAGCTTGGAGTCTTCCGATCTCAGCTTGTTTATGGCTAGTTCTAGCTCAGCACTGTTGGCCTTGGCCTGGGGAGAAGGGAGACCTCAGCACTTAGACACTGTCTGGGAGTTTTCCAACCACAGTGAGGTAAAACCTTCCTTGCCCCAGAGATTCAGGATCCCCTGCTCCACCCTGGTGACGAACTGAGGTGAAGTGTGAGGAGGTCTCTGGGCTGGGTTCTGTGATACACGCTGGGGTTGAAGCACTGATATCAGCAGGGTTTGGGATGCTCTGAGCTCATCTGGTGGGAAGCCAGCGGTCAGGCTGCTACAGCTGCAGATACCCCTATGTGGTTCATAGGGAGTAGACCTGGGCAACCTGTGAGCCAAATCCCACAGTCCTTCCTCATTCAAAACTCCCACTGAACTCACCCAACGAGTGCCCAATGCCTCCTGCAACTTGTGTCCCCACAGCAAGGTACATCCCGACAGCACTGTTCAACCCCCAGTTCAGAGTGAGATGCTACAGCTTTCTGGTCTTTGCAAGGCTGTATTCGATACTAACAAGATTTGTTACCAGCTTCCCACTGTCACTGAGGAGCCTCGGAAATTCTCAGCCAGGCTACTGGCTACTGATGCATTAATGAGAATTCCTCCTGGGGGCTTGCCTCCCATGCCAGCTGTGCCACACTTGAACCCTACAGCTCATTCCACCCACAGACAAGACCAGCATGTGGGTGCTGGACTCTTTCGCTAGCCCGCCACTGTTACTAAGCGTCGTAAATTAGACCTGCAAATTCTTCCTGATGGACGCTTTGGGCAAGGTCCACTCTGCAGGGTCAGCTAGCAATCCAGCAGACTGCACCCCCGTTGATGGGGCATGGCACTTTGGCCCCTGCAAAGGAATTGTTGACAGAGCTCTGTATGATATTACTCATTCACGGTTAGGACATTTTTAAAAATCTCTCCCACCCATTCTATCCTCCGCTTACTGCTAGTCGCTTTCCAGGATTTCCTAGAAGACTGAACACTATTGAGTGAGACAGGGAAACCCTTCTTTACTGGGAAAAAAACATGTTCCCCAGTCTGGACATCCCCTGCCCCACTGAAGATGAAGTTTGGATCTGATATGGTTGTTGCAAGGCAGTGCTATTATTATGTGGCAAATAATATACTAGTTTGGAAAAGTTAGTCCCTCTGAAAATGCTGCCTAACAGAATTCTTGGTGCGTGGATTTAGCTCTGGGCAGATCATTCTGCTATCCTCACAGGGATGGCTGCTGCTCAGTAGTTACTCACTGGAGCCCAGTTTAACACCCACTGACTTCAACAGGCATTGGGTCATGCCTATGGTGGCATGTTATTTCCAAGCAAAGAAATTAACTTGTAGTACATTTTCCATTTTGAAATATCAGCTCCTAATGATATCATGCCATGCACTGGCATCTCACCCCCCCCCCCCCCGCCAGAGCCCTATCCTCCTAGCCCCTATGGCTGTGTGAGAAAATAATGCCAATGGGCAAGGACTTTGTGCCTCCGGCTTGCCATATGACTTAGCCGGTGTCACTCCTGCCTTCAGGCTGGAAGACTGGGTGGGATTCCAACTCAGCCTCAGTGACTTCAGAGTAGGGCGGGGTGAATAACGGATTATTCATTTTGTTTCCGAAAAATCAGGAAAAAAAACATTGTTTTGGGTTGACCCGAAAATTTAATTTTTTGACAAAAATAAAAGTGGGGGGGAAATTCACTTTTGATCAAATGAAACATTTCATTTTGAACGTTCCACATTTTTTAATCTTTTAAAAATTCAACAAAATTTCTAAATGAAAACTCAATTCAAACAATCAAAATGTTTATCTTCAAAAATGCTGAAACTTTTGAATGTTGAAATTTCAACTTTTTCAAAAGGAAATTTTTCAGGCCTAAGCAATTCAGTGTCACTGACACAAATCTGCGAATCATTTTGGTGTCACCAAATCTGCATTTTTTGCTGAAACAAGTTTCAACCAAAAATACCTATCTGGTTCTACTTAGAAGCCCACATCTCACTGACAGGCAGGGCAGAAAAGGTGGGGGAGTAGCACTGTATGTAAGGGAGCAGTATGACTGCTCAGAGCTCAGGTACGAAACTGCAGAAAAACCTGAGTGTCTCTGGATTAAGTTTAGAAGTGTGTGCAACAAGAGTGATGTAGTGGTGGGAGTCTGCTATAGACCACGGGACCAGGGGGATGAGGTAGATGAGGCTTTCTTCCGGCAGCTCACGGAAGCTACTGGATCGCATGCCCTGCTTCTCATGGGTGACTTTAATTTTCCTGATATCTGCTGGGAGAGCAATACAGCGGTGCATAGACAATCCAGGAAGTTTTTGGAAAGCGTAGGGGACAATTTCCTGGCGCAAGTGCTAGAGGAGCCAACTAGGGGGGGCGCTTTTCTTGACCTGCTGCTCACAAACCGGGTAGAATTAGTGGGGGAAGCAAAAGTGGATGGGAATCTGGGAGGCAGTGACCATGAGTTGGTTGAGTTCAGGATCCTGACACAGGGAAGAAAGGTAAGCAGCATGATACGGACCCTGGACTTCAGGAAAGCAGACTTCGACTCCCTCAGGGAACGGATGGCCAGGATCCCCTGGGGGACTAACTTGAAGGGGAAAGGAGTCCAGGAGAGCTGGCTGTATTTCAAGGAATCCCTGTTGAGGTTACAGGGACAAACCATCCCGATGAGTCGAAAGAATAGTAAATATGGCAGGCGACCAGCTTGGCTTAATGGTGAAATCTTAGCGGATCTTAAACATAAAAAAGAAGCTTACAAGAAGTGGAAGGTTGGACATATGACCAGGGAAGAGTATAAAAATATTGCTCGGGCATGTAGGAATGTTATCAGGAGGGCCAAATCGCACCTGGAGCTGCAGCTAGCCAGAGATGTCAAGAGTAACAAGAAGGGTTTCTTCAGGTATGTTGGCAACAAGAAGAAAGCCAAGGAATGTGTGGGCCCCTTACTGAATGAGGGAGGCAAACTAGTGACAGAGGATGTGGAAAAAGCTAATGTACTCAATGCTTTTTTTGCCTCTGTTTTCACTAACAAGGTTAGCTCCCAGACTGCTACGCTGGGCATCACAAAATGGGGAAGAGATGGCCAGCCCTCTGTGGAGATAGAGGTGGTTAGGGACTATTTAGAAAAGCTGGACGTGCACAAGTCCATGGGGCCGGACGAGTTGCATCCGAGAGTGCTGAAGGAACTGGCGGCTGTGATTGCAGAGCCATTGGCCATTATCTTTGAAAACTCGTGGCGAACCGGGGAAGTCCCGGATGACTGGAAAAAGGCTAATGTAGTGCCAATCTTTAAAAAAGGGAAGAAGGAGGATCCTGGGAACTACAGGCCAGTCAGCCTCACTTCAGTCCCTGGAAAAATCATGGAGCAGGTCCTCAAAGAATCAATCCTGAAGCACTTGCATGAGAGGAAAGTGATCAGGAACAGCCAGCATGGATTCACCAAGGGAAGGTCATGCCTGACTAATCTAATCGCCTTCTATGATGAGATTACTGGTTCTGTGGATGAAGGGAAAGCAGCGGATGTATTGTTTCTTGACTTTAGCAAAGCTTTTGACACAGTCTCCCACAGTATTCTTGTCAGCAAGTTAAGGAAGTATGGGCTGGATGAATGCACTACAAAGTGGGTAGAAAGCTGGCTAGATTGTCGGGCTCAACGGGTAGTTATCAATGGCTCCATGTCTAGTTGGCAGCCGGTATCAAGTGGAGTGCCCCTAGGGTCGGTCCTGGGGCCGGTTTTGTTCAATATCTTCATAAATGATCTGGAGGATGGTGTGGATTGCACTCTCAGCAAATTTGCGGATGATACTAAACTGGGAGGAGTGGTAGATACGCTGGAGGGGAGGGATAGGATACAGAAGGACCTAGACAAATTGGAGGATTGGGCCAAAAGAAATCTGATGAGGTTCAATAAGGATAAGTGCAGGGTCCTGCACTTAGGACGGAAGAACCCAATGCACAGCTACAGACTAGGGACCGAATGGCTAGGCAGAAGTTCTGCGGAAAAGGACCTAGGGGTGACAGTGGACGAGAAGCTGGATATGAGTCAGCAGTGTGCCCTTGTTGCCAAGAAGGCCAATGGCATTTTGGGATGTATAAGTAGGGGCATAGCGAGCAGATCGAGGGACGTGATCGTTCCCCTCTATTCGACATTGGTGAGGCCTCATCTGGAGTACTGTGTCCAGTTTTGGGCCCCACACTTCAAGAAGGATGTGGATAAATTGGAGAGAGTCCAGCGAAGGGCAACAAAAATGATTAGGGGTCTGGAACACATGAGTTATGAGGAGAGGCTGAGGGAGCTGGGATTGTTTAGCCTGCAGAAGAGAAGAATGAGGGGGGATTTGATAGCTGCTTTCAACTACCTGAAAGGGGGTTCCAAAGAGGATGGCTCTAGACTGTTCTCAATGGTATCAGATGACAGAACGAGGAGTAATGGTCTCAAGCTGCAGTGGGGGAGGTTTAGATTGGATATTAGGAAAAACTTTTTCACTAAGAGGGTGGTGAAACACTGGAATGCGTTACCTAGGGAGGTGGTAGAATCTCCTTCCTTAGAGGTTTTTAAGGTCAGGCTTGACAAAGCCCTGGCTGGGATGATTTAACTGGGAATTGGTCCTGCTTCGAGCAGGGGGTTGGACTAGATGACCTTCTGGGGTCCCTTCCAACCCTTATATTCTATGATTCTATGATTCTATGAAAGGCAATTGAAATCATGCTCCTAAAGTAGGTGCGTGGTTTTGAAAATCCCAGCTCCATGGATTCAGGTCTCCTATTTGGATTTGGGTTCATGGTCTCTGCTGATAATGCAGTTCAGACCCAGAGTGATGCTTCGCCGTCAGAGATGCTGTTGTTCATACCAGGTACATTAGCATTCTGTCAGTCAAGTTCTCATGGGCAGCCAGGTGGAAAGTAAGGATCCACTTGCATTTTCCCACTGAAGATGGGATCACAGGTTGATGATCCCAGGCCCAGGGCTCTCTGGGTGATAAACTACTGACTGTTCTGTTTGCCTGCCAGCCACTACCTGGCAATAGGATCTAGCTCATCACTTCTAAGTACTTTGGAAAAAGCTGAGAAAGAACAGTGCTGTCTCTAAGGTGCCACAAGTACTCCTTTTCTTTTAACAGTGCTGTAGAAACCCAAACTCTGTCTCCCAGAGGAGGTGAACTGACAGGAGAAGTAGTGGTGAGGTAGATGAGGAAAAATGCCTTCAGTAAGGGAGCAGATTGGCCTGTAAGCTCATGAGAAAGCTGATTGCTAGCCAAGCTCCTAGGAGACCATCACCATTCTTACTTTAGACAGAGCACAGCTTACACCTTCCTTCTCATTCTCCAGCACGTCCTTCTCCAGAATGGCTTGGTTCAAGGACTCCTTTACTACCACCAGCTCCTTCTTCAAAGCTGAGGTCTTCTCTTCTAACTGTTCCAGGGTCCTCTGCCTGTAGAAGTCATGCAAAAGGGAGGAAAATGAATTAGGGCCTCATTTCTCTGCTGGCCTGCACTATTTGCCACGTGAGTGCCATGTGGCTGTGAATGCTGCCATTCTGATCTGGGAGGAGTTTCCGCTTCCTTTGCATCATCGCTGTAAATGACTAGCCAGGCTTACTCCCCCATGGCAACGAAGCCCACAGTCATGTACATTGTGAGCAGCTCCCCAGCACGCCTGCTTCACCGCCACCTTTCAGTCGAGGCTGCACCTCAGCCCTGCATCATCACTCCAGTGTCAGGCAGGCATGGCTCCAAGTGGGTTCCCTACCAGGAGGATGCTGGGCCATCTGCCCCAGCACTGTCCGTTACATCAGCGTGGAGTGGGGAATCCACCCCCCCACCCTGAATGAGACTGCCCTGCACACCATAGTAACATGGGCAGATGTGAGGCACCTCACCCTTGCTCCAGCTCTTTCCTCACTCTCTCCCGCTCCTTTGCCAGCTCCTCCTTCTGCTCCCCCAGGAGGCTTTGCTGCCTCTGCAGCTCTGTGGTGAGTCTCCTCAGCCTTTCCACCTCCAGATGGGAGGAGTCCACCTGCTCGCTCAGACTTCCCACTGCAGCCTCTGTGGTCTCCTTCTCCCTGAGGGTGAGAGGGAAACTATGAGTCACCAATCTGGCCCTGCGATAATGTCACCCACATCAACGGTGGGCCTCTTGCTCCCACAGTGGCTGGACCAAATAAGAGTCCTGGAGTCCCCTGCTGCTTCCAGACCAACGGTGTTAGAAGCTCATAACTTTAGGGCACAGCAGCACAGGCTAGCCCCATGAGTAATTACCCAGCACCCTGGGCAGGCCTGTACAGTGTGTGCTGCTGCAGCTTTGCTGCTCCAGTACCGGAGCAGTGTGGGGATGTCTGCTCAACTACTGTCACACCCCATTATTGTAGTGAAGACACATCCAGGGGCCCGTGACAATGACACAGAATTAAATGTTGGAGCAATCAGCATCCACCAGTTTCACCTTGGAAAAAAGTTTGGTGCACAAGCCAGACATAAGAGAACGATGCATCCCAGCACTGAGCAGAGCTGCCGTTTCTCCAAGATCCAGGATCAGCGAGGTTTCTGGGCTCCCCAGAACAAAGGAAGAACCTACAGAAACATCCTGATGTCTCAGCCCTGTTGTGCAGATTGCTCCGAGTACCCAACGCAACCAAACCACACAGGGTAACTTTGTTGAAACATCCTGGCTTCAGTCACTTTGCTCTTCCCATCAGGAATTTCAGTAGCATGACTGTTCCAAACCTTCTCACACAGGCTGGTGACCAAAGGAGGCAGGTGGAAGGGTCTGCGAGGATGCAACATCTGGTGGAGTCACATCTGGAGCTCCAGTCCTCAGACTGGAAGCTCCTCAGAACATTCTACTTGCATGGAGGACAGGACTCATTCTCCTCTATGCCTACTCACCAGTGCATGTCTACATACATCATTGGGTCTCATTACCCATGTCTCCTTAAAATGGAGAGATGCTCAGAAATGGATGCTGAAACATGTGTTTCACAAATTCATCTGAAATTTTCCTTTTTTGTCAAAAACAAAGAACAAAAATGATTTTTTGTTTTGTTTTTTGAAACAGGAAGCTGAGGTTTTGGTGTTGGAGGTTTTTTCCCTTTCTTTCCTTTCCCCCATATGGGGGAAGGGGAAAAAAAGGAGAGAAAGGGAAAGAAAGAAAGAAATCAAAAGCCAAAAAGCTGAAACAATTGGATTTTGTTTGTTAAAAATCCAGAAAATTAATAAAAGAAAACAAAACTTTTCAGTGAGAATGTTCATTTCCAAAGATAGCCATACTTTTGTCAGATAAAAGTTTGGAGCAAACAGTTTAGATCAGCTCCAGTAATATGAGCAGTCTGAGTGAGCCCAAAAAGCCAGAGACCTGCAATGGGTCGGTTCTCTTTCGCTTGGACTGAGTCTCCAAACGCTGAAAATCTAAATGGCTTGTTCAATCCTGAACACAGCACTATGGAGTGACACCCTTTCCCATCTGGACCATACCACAGGCTTGTCACGTGCATTACCCTTGGGGTTGGGAGAGTGACTCTGTTCTCAGCCAGCCATCCCAGGGTATGGTGGCTCCCGACAGTAATTATCGATCCCCCCCATCCTACTCCCATGTGCACCTGCTGAGAATCTCCACTGAGGATTTACAGTGCTGCAAATCCTGCCTGCAATCCTGCAGGGCTCTGGCCAGCTCCTCACGCTCCAGCCTCTGCTCCTGCAGCTGCTGCTCTGCCACCTGCACCTCCTGCTGGCAATCGGACAGCTGCTTCCTGACCACCCCCAGCATGTCCTGGGCAGACTCCAGCTGAAATTGCAATTCCTGGCCGCAGAATGGAAAATAAGGCACAAGGGTAAAGTGCATATTGCACTCTGCTTCACATGACACAGCACGTGCGCACATATGCACAGGGCCAGAACCCTGCTATCCTGGTGAGTGAGTGAAGGGCAGATCCTGAGACACAGGGACCTAACTTACTCACGGCTGCATCACATAGCTTAAACTCAGCGCCCCCCCCCGAACCTGAGCTAGCAGCTGTGCCTTGCTGACCTTCTCCCCTCCAAGGAGCGGCCTGATGCCACTTTCAAACCAGGGCCACACAATAAGCTGCACTGGCTGAAGGTTTTCTCCCAGGGCTGCTGCATGGCTCCTCTTCATCCCCAGTGAATCCCCCAGACCCTCCCCTGTGCCCTAGTGTTACATCCCTCACTCTCATGGCATGGTGGTACAACCACTACCCTTCTATCCAGGGGCTCCATCACTACCCATGGGATAGCCCAGCCTCACCCAGCACACGCTCCCTTCTCTGAGCTGGTGCTTTCCACTCCCGCTACTCCAGGCAACAAGAGACCAGGGCTGGGGCTCACCCCCAGGTCCCCATGTGGAGATGCAGAGATAGCCCTGGCTGGAGACTTCAGGCTGAGCTCATCAGTGGCCTGCAAGGTGCTGTAAATTAGACCCTCCTTGCATGTCTATTGACACCTGCCCCTGCTGCAAAAGGGAGTGGGAGCTGATGAATCCACACACTCAGGAGCTGGGACCAGTCTACTGTAACTGACACCTCCATGCTCCATCTTCTGGCTCTCCACAGCCCCTCGGAGTGGCACCCTCATGGCTCTGGCCTTTCCTTTTCCTTCTCCATCTCATACTCTCTCCTTTGGCCTATTCCTTTGCTCGTACCATGTTATTTATCCCCCTGTCAGCACCTAAGCAGCATAAGGCCCCAAGCAGGTTCTCTTATTATCTGGAGAGACGCTCCCGAGCTCCCCTGCTTCCGTTGTGGATGGTTCTGTCTCTCTTTGGGTGAATGTAGGGAAGTTGGAGATGACAAGGAATTGCAGGTCAATCCACTACTAAGGGCTGTGGCTGGCCAGTCCATCCAGCACAGTAACGACTCTCCAAGAAATCATGTCAACGCTCATTCCCTTCATGTCTGCCCTTCCGTTAGCTGTTGATCCTGCCCTCCCAGCCCCTGCCCCTGGGACTGACTAAGTCTCGCAGAGCTGGGCTGCCTCTCCTCTTTTCATCCCCCCCAGACATTTTGGGATGCAGCATTCCACTGGATGCAACACCATCACTTTGCTCCTCGGGGAAACCAGCCCCAGTCTGTGGGCGGACACTTCCTGAGATGCTAACTCTGGGGCTGACCAGAGCTCGAGGCAGTGTCCTCACCTGCTCATGCTGCTGTCGCCTCCGGAGGGCACCCTGCACGGCTTGCAGCACGGCATCCTGGAGCAATGGGGAGTGGGCACGGGACGGTGACACCCGCCGGTGATGTGAAGAGCTAGAGCGCAAAGGGGAGATTTGTCTGCCAGGGTCTTCTGCACCTGTCGCCCTCATGCTGTCCAGTGAGAGGGGCCCTGCACTCTCAGCATCGGCCAGAGCCAGCTGGGGAGAGAAGGGTGGAGGGTTAATCCCAACAACGCCAATCTGCCGTTACCTTCTGCACTCAAGCTCCCAGCTACACTAGAGCAACCCAGCCACCACTGCCAACTGGGGGGCCTGAAATGAGGCCCTGAGTGCTGAGAATCCCCATTCCTGCTGAAGTCTGTGGGAGCTGGGGATGCTCATCACTTCTGAACAGGTCATGCTAGGATCCAGAGAACCAGGTCAATTAAACTTTGGGTCAGAACCCCACGCTATCCAAATTTGAATTTTGGTATTGAGAGTTTGGTTGGTTAAAAAGCAGTTGCAATGGGTGAGCAAAGAGCATATGAGAGCCTTGACAAAAAAGCCCTGAAAGTTTTGTGTTCGGAAAAGGGGATAAGCTTTAGAAAGAAAGCTACAAATCAAGAACTGAGAATCTGTTAATGGCCAGTGATCAGGAGGCAGGAGCACAGCCCTTACCTGATGCTAAAGAAGCTACAGAAGCAATGAAACTGCAAGCCCTGAGAGACAGCCTGCAGTTGGAACATGAACAAAAACTGGCAGAAATTCAAATGAGAGAGAAGCAAGCCTTGACCCAGCTGAAAAAAGAAGGTAAGACAGAAGGAAAGGCTGGCTGCTAAGGAGAGGGTCCGCCAGATGCAACAAAAAACTGACAGACTTCAGCTCCAAGTCAAAAAAGCAATGGAAGAACAGCAGAAATTGTATCCTCTTGAAAGTCCAGTATATAACAATGTTGGTATGTTGTATAACTTTGAGCAGTTGTCTGAGTGTAACCAAATGTACCCCAACACTGCCACCTTTTATGTAAATGGCTCCATGTCTGGTTGGCAGCCGGTATCAAGTGGAGTGCCCCAAGGGTCGGTCCTGGGGCCGGTTTTGTTCAATATCTTCATAAATGATCTGGAGGATGGTGTGGATTGCACTCTCAGCAAATTTGCGGATGATACTAAACTGGGAGGAGTGGTAGATACGCTGGAGGGGAGGGATAGGATACAGAAGGACCTAGACAAATTGGAGGATTGGGCCAAAAGAAATCTGATGAGGTTCAATAAGGATAAGTGCAGGGTCCTGCACTTAGGACGGAAGAACCCAATGCACAGCTACAGACTAGGGACCGAATGGCTAGGCAGCAGTTCTGCGGAAAAGGACCTAGGGGTGACAGTGGACGAGAAGCTGGATATGAGTCAGCAGTGTGCCCTTGTTGCCAAGAAGGCCAATGGCATTTTGGGATGTATAAGTAGGGGCATAGCGAGCAGATCGAGGGACGTGATCGTTCCCCTCTATTCAACATTGGTGAGGCCTCATCTGGAGTACTGTGTCCAGTTTTGGGCCCCACACTTCAAGAAGGATGTGGATAAATTGGAGAGAGTCCAGCGAAGGGCAACAAAAATGATTAGGGGTCTGGAACACATGAGTTATGAGGAGAGGCTGAGGGAGCTGGGATTGTTTAGCCTGCAGAAGAGAAGAATGAGGGGGGATTTGATAGCTGTTTTCAACTACCTGAAAGGGGTTCCAAAGAGGATGGCTCTAGACTGTTCTCAATGGTATCAGATGACAGAACGAGGAGTAATGGTCTCAAGCTGCAGTGGGGGAGGTTTAGATTGGATATTAGGAAAAACTTTTTCACTATGAGGGTGGTGAAACACTGGAATGCGTTACCTAGGGAGGTGGTAGAATCTCCTTCCTTAGAGGTTTTTAAGGTCAGGCTTGACAAAGCCCTGGCTGGGATGATTTAACTGGGAATTGGTCCTGCTTTGAGCAGGGGGTTGGACTAGATGACCTTCTGGGGTCCCTTCCAACCCTTATATTCTATGATTCTATGATTCTATGTAAATGCTGTTACTGTGAGTTCAGTAGAGGGTGGCCCCATAAATTGTGCCAATGCTATATATGGGACTGGTAATGAAAAATTCATAGAGAGTGTAAAAGTCAATGGTAAAAGCTGTTTAGGGCAAATTATGGCTTCTAACATCACTCTTGTTAAAAGAAAAGGAGTACTAGTGGCACCTTAGAGACTAACCAATTTATTTGAGCATAAGCTTTCGTGAGCTACAGCTCACTTCAAAGGATACTAGTACTCCTTTTCTTTTTGCAAATACAGACTAACAGGGCTGCTACTCTGAAACCTGACTCTTATTAAAGCAGATCTGGTCAAAGAGGAAGATTACTTACCAATTCAGAGTCTGAATGTTGTAGTCCTCTAAGAGTTTACTGTAAGCATGCCTTTAGCCAGAATCCACCTTGAATGGAATGGTACTAAGCATGAAGGTATAGCTGGTGTAAGGAGGTTATTGCCTAAGGATCTTTTGATTGGGGAAAATGTCAAAGCTTTATTCAGACCAGGTAGCCAGTCACAGGAAAGGAATGATTTTAAACCTGTCTGTTTTGGGCAATGATTTGCCTGGGGAGGTTTTCTCCAAGTGTTTGTCTGAGCAAAAAAGCAGTATGTCTGTGAATGAAGTTTCTGAATGTCTGTCTAATGTCTCAGAAGTAAATCTGGAATTAGATCAAGCACAGAAAGAACTCATTGGTCAGGAAAATGTTTCTCAGGAGCAGATTAAAGTGGATGGTCAGAGTAAAGCCCTAACTGAGAAAGGAAAGGGTAGATTTTTGATGGGTAATGAATTATTGGCAAGTACAGTTTGTAAAAGTGAACCTGGAAAAGGTAACTGTGATTTGCTGGAAGTAGCTCAGTGCAGTGAAGAGAGCAGCAGTTTATCCTCAGGAGCGGCAATGTGCCTGATAAGGAAAGTTTGGATGAGCCTAGGCAGCCTCGTGAGCTGATGGCATTATCTAGTCAGCAGTTTGGGAAGGCAAGGATAGTGGAAGATGAGTGTCCCTATACCTTACCTAAAAAAGAGAAAAGGAGGACTTGTGGCACCTTAGAGACTAACCAATTTATTTGAGCATAAGCTTTTGTGTGCTACAGCTCACTTCATCGGATGTATACCTTACCTATTACCTGTGTGGAGAATTGTGACAGTGAAGGAAATGTGTCTGTGTCTGTCAACGGTATTGACTTGCCAATGGAGGGAGCTACCCCGGTCTCCAAGCAGTTGTCTGTGAACAACCCTGTGTGCTGGGACAAGGGAAATGAGATCCCAAGCTGTGTGTCTGGTAAAGTAGAATGTGTCTCCAGCTCTTCTTTGTCTGTGGAGCAGATAGAAGGTGCCTTTCAGCCTGTGCGGGTTGAGAATAGTGTAGTTGTCTCAGAGTTGGTTCTGGATTCAACTAAATCCCAGGAAGGGAATGGTCCTAAGTTTGTGTCTGCTAGGGAGAATGGCGCTGTAACTAGGTTGCATCCAGTTAGTGTTGTAGCAGAATCCCAGACACCAGACAATTCTGGTGCTTGTATTTTGCCTGTTGCTAATGTGTGGCTGGGAAAGGTGTAGCAACTCTGTCTAATAAGGGTGATACCCTTGCCAGGGCACAAGGAGAGCATAAAGGTGGTTTGATTGTGTTACCTACTGATGGTGTGGAAACTTGTAGAAAGAAGGAAAAGATTCCTGAACTTGTGTGTGGCAAAGGGAAGGAGAATGCTTCTAGCCTTTTATCTAGGAAGTCTATAAGTATGCCTGAAAGGGGATTGTGAAGGAATCCACCTGATGGGCCAGAGGTGATTCTGGATGTAAGTGAGACCCAGAAAGAGTCTGTTGTTGCTCAGGAAAGTGTTCCTTTAGATTTCAGAGTAACAGCCGTGTTAGTCTGTATTCGCAAAAAGAGAAGGAGTACTTGTGGCACCTTAGAGACTAACCAAGCCCTAAGTGAAGAGGGTAAGGGCAGCATTTCTGAGAGGGGTGAATTGCTCCTTCGAAAAGCTCCTAGGGAAAGGAATCCTCATGGTAGTCTTTGCAAGCAGTTTACTGCAACTGAAGGGTGTGAAAGTGATTTAATCAAGAAAGTTTTAGTTCCTAACAGCCAGAAATTTTCTGTGGTGAATGGATCCACTGACTTTCCTTTTGAAAGATCCAGCGTGGATAGCTTTGAGAAGGTCTCAGATGGAGTGAAAGCTGTTAAGAAAGTTGAAGAGTCCTATAACCAAGTGGCTGTGTTTGGCCAGCTTGTTGGGGAGACAACCTTGTTGAGAGAGGACACACAGTCTCTGTCTCAGGTTCAGAGGGAAGACTGGGTAGCTGAGTCTGCAAGGCAGAACAGCTGTGTAGTTAATCTCTCGAGAATGCAGGGGATGGCAGGTATACTCTCATCTCTAGACACTTTGGACATGACTTGTATTCTCTCAGTGAACTTAACATCTGATTTCATATGGAAGCCGAGGTTGGTAAGGGAAGGACCACAGAACTTTGAGTCTAGCTTGTTAGTGAAAATGGATGGTATCTCTTTAAGACAGAGTCCAGCCTTGGAATTGGTAGCAGTTAAGGATCTAAAAACTGATGAACTGGCTCCTGTCTGTGGTAATGCAAATTACTTGGCTGGCAGGGAGAAGAAGGACTTGCGAATAGCTATTAGCACAGAGAGCACACCCAATCAGCCAGTGAATTCTGTTAAACTAGAGAAATCAGGGTTTGATCCTTCAGGACAGGAAGGAAAGAGAGACCTTAATTTTGCAAAGGGAAGCCACAGGCTAACCCTGAAAGGCCCAAACCTCAATGGTATTAAGCCAAAGTGTGGCATGACAAAAATGATTGTAAATAGACACTTGCACTGAAATTGTTTTTATTGCTAATTGTAATTCTTGTAACTAATGTGTTGCTATTACCAAAAACTGTAAAAGTGTACAATGTGCCAAATCTTTTGGAAAATCCCTTGAATATGTTAAAAGTGATACATAAGATCACACTTTATGTTAAAGGGCCTTGTTATACTGATGTTGCACAGTATTAATGCCTGTACACAGTCTTGGAACTTTTCACAGGGGAAAAGACATTCCAAACCTGATGTGCGGTGTGAACAGGGAAACTGAGGCACACTACCACATTGCTTTCATGGCTAAATGCCAAGATTCCTGTACTATAAACAATAGTAATATCTACATTAAGTTGATGTTAATTGGGTTTCAAACATTTGCCAGAGCTTTTATGGATAAAGTAGCTATGTTCTTTAGCTCTTGGCAAGATCACATACAGGAACCACGCTGCAAGAGCGGATCCAATCCACTATTGTTCTAACCAAGTTTTACCTTGAGTTTGTAAAGAGATTCATTCATGTTATTGAACATGACTTTGATAAACCATTTCTGTTATACACTGGTACGGCTCCTAACCCAATACTAGCTGTAGTAAGACAGAACCAAGGATGGGGAGCTTTTGGGATGCAGTCAGTGATGTTTGTGTCATCCCTTCCTGCATCAATTTTGCGTTGGGGGTGTGACGTTATTGACATAATCTGGGTCTGTATAGATCATCATTGCAACCAAGGTCCTGTAGTGGCACCAAATCTTTTATAAAGGGGGTCAAATGAGGTGTCTAAGACAAGGTTATGGTTTGCTGATTATGATTAAGCTGTTATCATTTTTGTAGTTGAAGTTATGAATATTGGCTCTATACTGGCTGTAGTTCAAACTTGTGCTATGCTTCTGGGTGACATCCCGGACAAGTTGGTGTCAGCTCTGCCTAGCCTGCTTGATGGCCCATTAAGGACCATCAGCTATACAACTGACCCATTGAGAGAAGGCAGACACGCCTTGGGATTCAGCAAGGTATGCAGGGACATGCCTATGGACAGAACTCTGAGGTTTTTCCAGGCCATGTCATGGACAGCTTGTCTTTGGAACAAAGAAAGAAAGACCACATGGCAAGAGAATATAAAAAGCTGCTGCAGCTCCTCCATCTTGTCTTCAATCCTGCTTCATACCTCTGGAGGAACTTTGCTACACTGAAGCTTTGAACCAAGGCCTGAAAGACCCATCCCAGCTGTGGATGTACTCTAGAGACTTGATTTGAACCTGCAGTTTATTCCACCACTGCTGCAAGCCTGAACCAAGAACTTTGTCATTACTGTATGTAATTGATTCCTTTTAACCAGTTCTAGCTCTCATCTATATCTTTTTGCTTTTATGAATACACCTTTAGATTTTAGATTCTAAAGGATTGGCAACAGCATGATTTGTGGGTAAGATCTGACTTGTATATTGACCTGGGTCTGGGGCTTGGTCCTTTGGGATCGAGAGAACCTTTTTTCTTTTACTGGGGTATTGGTTTTCATAACCATTTGTCCCCATAATGAGTGGCACTGGTGGCGATATTGGGAAACTGAAGTGTCTAAGGGAATTGCTTGTGTGACTTGTGGTTAGCCAGTGGGGTAAAACCAAAGTCTTCTCTGTTTGGCTGGTTTGGTTTGCCTTGGTGTACATAGAAACCCCAGCCTTGGCTGTAATTGCCCTGCTTTAAGCAATTTGTCCTGAACTGGCACTCTCAGTTGGGTCCCACCAGAACCAGCCTCATAACAGGCCCTTAAAGCTATTTAAACCCAGATCGCTATTGTAGACACCTCACTGCTGACCTAGGCACTAACCAGCCTAATTTGGTTCTGACATCAGCACTTGGGGCCTACAGAAGGCCCTGGTCCAGGAAGGCACGTAAGCATGTGCTGAACTTTAAGCACATTAAGTCAATGAAGTTACCTGAGCTTAAAGTGAAGCATGTGCTGAAGTGCTTTCCTGCATCAGGCCCTATGTAATTAATGCCCAACTCTTGGGGATCTACATTTGAAAACGTTGACCTTGGCTACACTGTCAGGAGATGGACATTAATCATAGAATCATAGAATATCAGGGTTGGAAGGGACCCTAGAAGGTCATCTAGTCCAACCCCCTGCTCGAAGCAGGGCCAATTCCCAGTTAAATCATTAGCCCCAAAACAAACAGAAGCGGTGAAGAGAACTGTGCACCCAAACCAGGAGCAACATTAGCGTCCAGTGCACATGGAGATATGAGATTCTGCATGCCCAATTGCCAACCTAACCGAGCTCTCAGCACCCGATCACGAGACATGCTGAGCATCTGCAATTCCCAGTAACATCCATACTCTGCAGGCCCTCAGTTAGGCACACAACTGTACATGCATAAAGCCATCTATAGCTTTGCTAGATGGGCAGCTCAAAATAATAATACCTTTTTCTTTTCATTCAGAGATTTCAAAGCACTTTCCTAAGGAGATCAGTATCATTATCCCCATTGTATAGATGGGGAAACAGAGGCTGAGAATGGGAAAGGGACTTGCCCAAGGTGTCCCAACCGGTCAGTGGCAGAGCTAGGAATAGAAGTCAGGTCTTCTGAGTCCTAGTCCAGAGCTCTAAGCACTAGACAACACTGCCTCATAGAGCTACTATACTAGGGTTCCATGGACAGCTGTTTAAATTGTGACTGGTGCCTGCATAAGAGTGTCAGTACGATGGCCCTGATTCTGCAAAGTCATTAAATCCCACTGCAGTCAATGGGACTTAAGCCCACGCTATTGGGTCTATTGTTACAAAAACAAGCACCAGCTCTAGAAATGGGACTGAAAACAATAAGAGCCTGAAGAGCCATGGAATGATTTAGTGCCTGCATCAGATTAGCAACAGCATGAGCTGAGCACCAGTTGGGAGGCCTGATTTCAAACAATCATCGAGCCAACTTTCAGAAGAACAAAATGTACAATAACAGAACCTGTAGTAAAAACTCTGCCCTAGTGCCTTCTCTTAGATACCTAACATACTCTATTCCAACACACGGGTAAGTAAAGAACCTGTACCATCAACTACACTGTTGTCTTTAATACACAATTAGTCATCAAATTTCCACTATTGAGCCATATGGTCTGAATCACCAAATTAAAACCATTCACAATATAGACATAAGGGGCCCTTACTGGATTTAGTTCTCTAGTGATCTAAGGTACATATGGCTCCCATTACTGTAGTAGCTGAGCAACCTTGTGAAACAGGGCATCCCCATTTTATAGAAGGGGAACTGAAGCACAGAGAGGCTAAGTGACTTGTCCATGGTCACACAGGAAGTCTATGGCACAGCAGGGACTTGAATGCAGATCTTCCAAGTCCAAGGCGAGTACCTTAACCACATTCTTGCACTTTGCTGTGAGTGAAGTAGCACACCTGTGTGATGCTGTTCACGATTTTCTGCAAAGATTCACTTTCATCTTTCAGGTCCTGCACCTCCAGTAGCTCTCCAGTTTTAGTGACTTCCTGTGTTCAAAGATAAGTGATTTCTTAGTGATGAACATAAGGAAAGATCAGAGAAAGTGTAAGAGAGTGTGTGTGTGTTTATATGTTTGTGTGTGATAGTGACTAATTGAGGGAGAGGAGTTTGTGGATATGTGTACCAGTTTCTGAACGTCCAGTTTTAGAGCAGAGATGGTCTTCTCTTTCTTTGCATTCTGTTCTTTAAGTTTCTGTCCTAAAGCGGTCAGTTCTGTTATCCTGAAAGATACAAGCGAGGCACAGAGAGCAGGTTGTTCAGAGTGAAGAAAGTACCACAGGCTCAATGGCAAAGCTGACATTTCCCCAGCACCTTTCAGTCCCTCCAGGGCATTCAGAGACAGTTCAATGCAGAGAACAGCTGCTTGTACAAGACAAGATCTACACACAGGAACTAGATGGATGGGGTGAACACCTGACACATTTCAGAGATAATGACCTTAACTAAAGAGGCACCAAGCCAGGAGGATCGCTGAGTGATAGGAAGGGAGGGTGGGATGAGAAGAGTTAAAACTTTACACAGCTGGGAAATTTGTCACTGATTTACCATAATTCTGCTGAACAACAATATCCTGGGCCACAGAATGCTATTTCCAGGGTAACTACTGTGTCATTTCTAGGAACATGAGAAGAGTTGCATTAAATATTCCATGGTGTTTACTGAGTTATTTTTCAAGCACATTTCTCAACATCAATATCAGAGGAATAAGAAGAAGCTGCAGCCATTATCATCCTTTGCCCTCTTTCCCTAAGCTTGGGAGCCCTGGCCTGGATGGCTGAGAATGGAAGGGGATTGTTCTCTCCAAGGCCCCAACCCCACAATTTGTTGGACATGGGTAGGCTCCTGCGCTAGCATAGAGCTGTCCATTGGCTTTAGCAGCGTTCAACACAAGCTTTGAGTCAGTTGCAGGATTGGGCCCAATACCCTTCAGTCTTAGGCTTCCCCTCAGAGCTCCACTGGTGATCCCAACCCTGACCTGGATACAAAGCCCCCTCCTGACAGGACAGCTGTCGCTCCAGGACTCTGCAGTCAGGGGAGGGCTCTGCAGTCATCCAGGTCAGTCCTGGCTTTCAGGGGAGGATAGCTCAGTGGTTTGAGCAGTGGCCTACTAAACCCAGGGTTGTGAGTTCAATCTTTGAGGGGCCATTTAGGGATCTGGGGCAAAAATTGAGGATTGGTCCTGCCTTGAGCGGGGGTTGGACTAGATGACCTCCTGAGGTCCCTTCCAACCCTGAGATTCTATGATTCTAACCAATGGATTCAGGGTGTTTATTTTCTCTAGTTTGGGGCCTTTTACTTCTCAGAAAACACTTCTGTGGGTTTAATCTGTTTGTAGCTGCATTGTTTTGAGCAGAAGTCGGGTTCCATTAACACATCACAGCCTGTCTGCCTACGTATAGTGGTTATATGGCCCTCCTGGCCTCTCCAAGTTCACCTTGGGTCCCCAAAACATGCCATTGGAAGAGGGGAAGGGGATGAGATTGCATCCTGTCACTGACTTGTTTCCTGGGTCTAAACCAGTGATCAGCATCTCAGAAGAACCCTTGGCAGATCAGTGGCATTATTTACAGGCAGAGTGCATCCGAGGTCACTCCCACCCCTGCCTGCAGCATGAACCACTGCCCCCCTTCCCCTTTCGATCTGTATTGGTTATTTAAAACCAGTGATGAAAACAACAGGATCAAAGGAGGGTTTGGTGTTTGATTTTAGTTAGAGTCAGTCCCAGGTGGCCCCACCATGCCCCTGAAGTGGAATCCCTCCTGCCCTAGGCAGAGCACCCTTTCCTTGGGTCTGAGGAGATTTTGCTTTCTGAGCTCAGATCCTCAGCTGGCCTAAATCAGCCCAGCCCCCTGGGTCCCACTGACATCAACGATGCTAAAAGAATTGACACCAACTGGCGATTGAGCCCATTAGCTTCAACAGAGCTATGCTGATTTACACCCGCGGGGGAGCTGGTCCATGGGCTTCAAAGGAGTTACATCAATTTACATCAGCTGTGCAGCTGGCCCTTCTTTGGAAGCTCTTAGGAAAAGCCAGAGGCAGGGAGCCAGAGCATGACCCCAACTAGAGACTTCTCCATTGGCTCGCTAGGCCCCATAACATCTTCACCTCGAGTTCAGCTCTACTTTCTCTCCATCCCAGCGGCTCTGGAGCTGAATCATGTCCCGGACCTTCTCCTGAAGCTGCTGCTCCAAGCGTGCCCCCTGGAGAGCCTGCTTCTCCAGCAAGCAGGCTGCACCACTCTCAGACAGACGCAGGTTCGAGTCCAAGTTCAGGCAGGCAGTCTGAAGGCGGCGTGCAGTCCTTGCCATGTCTGTCTGGGCCTCAGCCAGGCCTCTGGCAACAAGAGAGAAATCGCCACATGTGAAGAATCACAGAGAAATCCTTGCAGTTTTAGAGCGCATCACCTCAAAGCCAAGACAGGGCTCCTAGCACCCAGCCAGCCAACAGCTGTCTGAGCCTCCTCCCAACAACTGCCAGGGCCCCAGCAATGGAAACCTACTCAGGACTGTTGTAGGAGCAGTAGTGATCCATATGCTCTGTATAACCTGTATGTTCAAAAGATCTGTTACACTCCCCCCACCCCCGCTGCCCCCCTTTTTTGTCTCTTCTCCCTCTTTGAATACCTGTGAAGTGGCTTTCCCCCTCCCTCCTGGAATGCTTGTGGGATGAATGGGCTGCTTGAACAGCTGGAAGATCAGAACAGCTCCCAGGTAGACAAGGTGTCTGGGACTCTAATTAGGCAGCGCTCACACACCCAATGCATGGACACTGCATGGCCACTGTCCAAGGTGGAGTGTGACCAACCAGATGTGGCTAAGTCATCTCTAGTCACAGGCCATGAGGAGCAGGTCCTTAAAAGGGGAAGGGGCCATGTGCTCAGGAGTGCACTCACAAGCTTGTACCTCCTGTGAAGGCCCTTTGCCCGGACCGCCTGGCCAGTGGTTCGCTGCGTTGCATTCCATCGTGCCCCGGGAAGACTTACCTTCATCACACCATCCATCGCTGTGCTGTGGGACACTTACCTTGAAGGATCCTGACATCTCCAGTGCCGTGCCTGTCCTGGGAGCGTGAGTATGTGAGTGTGAGTGTGACCCTTCCCGCCCCCTTTTTTTCAGCTTAGCTGTCAGTATAATAAACCTGCAGCTTTCTGCCAAACTCTGGCGGGTCATTAGTCCTCCCTCAGCTTACTAGCAGGCCCAATTTTGGGGAACAAGGACAGCCTGGCACGACTAATTTCCTGGGGGGCACCAGGTCCAGTGCCTCCTTTGGAAGCTCGATCCCCTGTCTAGCTGTTGTGATGTTATTAATATGAACTGTGATCGTATCGATCATTGTTGCAACCAAGATTCTATAGTGGCACCAAATCTTGTACAATGGAGGTCATGTAAGATATCCATGAAAAGGTTATGATTTGCTGGTTATGATTATGCTATCTGTAGGCATGTATCTTTTTTGTATTTAAAGTATTGGCTCTATACTGTCTGTATTTCAAACTTGTGCTGTTTTTCTCGGTGACACCCCCAGACAACGTGGCATCAGCACTGTCTAGCCTGCTTGATGGCCCATTAAGGACCATCAGCTATACACCTGACCCATTGAAAGAAGGCAGATACACCTTGTGACTCAGCAAGACATGCAGGGACATGCCTATGGACCAAACTCTAAGGTTTTTCCATGCCATGTGCTAGGTGGCTTGTGTTTGGAACAAAGGAAGCGCAAGCCACATGGCAAAAGGACTATAAAAGGCAGCTGCATCATCTCCATTTTGTCTTCAATCCTGTTTCTTCCCTCTGGAGGAAATTTGCTACAAACTGAAGCTCTGAACGAAGGACTGAGTTACCCATCCAAGCTGTGGATGTACTCCAGAGACTTGATTTAAGCCTGCAGTTTATTCCATCACTACTACAAGCCTGAACCAAGAACTTTGCCATTACTGTATGTAATTGATTCCATTTAACCAATTCTTGCTCCCATCTATATTTCTTTCTTTTTATTAATAAACCTTTAGATTTTAGATTCTAAAGATTGGCAACAGCATGATTTGTGGGTAAGATCTAACTGATATATTGACCTGGGTCTGGGGCTTGGTCCTTTGGGATCGGGAGAACCTTTTTTCTTTTACTGGAGTATTGGTTTTCATAACCATTCATCCCCATAAGGAGCGGTGCTGGTGGTGACACAAGGGAACTGGAGTACGCGAGGGAATTGCTTGTATGACTTCTGGTTAGCCAGTGGGGTAAAACCAAAGTCCTCTCTGTTTGACTGGTTTGGCGTGCCTTAATAGTAAAGGAACTCCAGCTTTGGGCTGTAACTGCCCTGCTCTAAGCAATTTGTCCTGAATTGATACTCTCAGTAGTGTCCCACCAGAGGCCACATCGTTGCAGCTGTGCAGCTGTGATCCCCATGTAGCTTGCTGCAGAGATCACGCCTAATTAGCAGACACTTTCTCAATTCGCCTAGGTGAGCTGAGAGATCCAAGGACCCTCTGGCTGTGGTTAGCTGGTATCCTTCCATCTTTGGCAGTCCCTGGGATCAAATTTACATACCCTCTGGAGGAGATTCAGGTTAGGGCACCGTTACTTGGAGCCAGTGCTCTAACCAGCTATCGAGATCCACACACTTGTCACCCTCCTGCTTCCACCTACGGGGCCATCAGGAATAGTGGAGAAATCTCCTGGCAGAACCCCGCCCAGGCAGTACTCACCGCTCTGCTGTGGCACGCAGCTCCGCCAAGTTACTGCGCAGCATGGCAGCTTGGCGCCATAGCAGCAGGATCCCGCTGTGCTCATTGCTTAAGTACAAGCCAGAGCTCTGAGGAAATAAGAGTGGGACGTGAGGGGCTGTGAGTACAGAGGTGACATCTCAAAATTCAGGAGTTCACCAAGGGAGTGCCATGGCCAAGGCCCAGTCTCCATCCCATCCTTTCTGCAGCCTAACCTCGTGTGTGCACACACCCTGAGCAGAGGTTTCCATTGAGTTGTCAGCAGTGACGTCCAGCCCCCTTTTGTGAGTGGATACAGTTAATGGAGAACCCTGCAAGGTGTACGCACCATTCCACCTTCCCCACAATGTACATCGCTTTGCATTTATCAGCACTGATTTTCATCCCCCATTGTGCTGCCCACTCCCCTGGCTTGTTCAGGTCTCTCTGACGTTGCTCTCTGCTCCTTGCTGCCCTAAATATCTATGTATCATCTGAAGACTGTGCCCCTCACTGCTCTGCACCCCCCGCCAGGTCATTAATACATTTATTAAACCACATTGGCTCTAGAACTTCAGCTTGGCTTCAGCTCTCAGCTCCAGGGAAGTCACCTTCTTTGACCCACCCTGCTGTGTTTAAGCTCAGACCAGTAACAGGCTACATGGGCATATTTAGAAATGGAGCTGGTGTAAACCAGCACAGCTCCATTGACGTCAGGAGGCCAGGCACCCAGCTGGTCTAAACTAGCATCACTCCACTGAAGTCAACAATAAAAAACCAAACCACAATGCCCAGCGGAAGGACTCACCTCCCTGCCTTTGCCCCACTTGGATGCTCTCTGCTCTAGCTCGCCTCTCAGCCTGTGCAGGTCTGATGTTGCCCTCTCCAGCTCCCTCGCCAGTCTCTGATTGGAGCATTTCATCTGGTCCAGCTGTTCCCGCAGCAGCATGTTCATCTGGGAAAGGCTGGTGCTCCTAGGGCAGAACAAGCCAGATATTGGTTTCCCCTGATCTTCAGCACTGGCACTAGAGGGCAGCTCCGATCTCCAGGTACTCCCTGTGCTCCAGCAATCCTGCCCCAGTAACAGGAGCACCCTCTCCTGTGTGGGACACTCCGTCTCCAGGCTCAGTCCATCGAACATTTACCCTCCTATGGAAGGAGATGAAGAGAATACAGTCTCCATGCCTTGGATTCTGATCTCCAGAGCAGAGCTGTGTGACATGCACTGCTCCTGCAACAGACCATTCTTCAGAAGCAAAGGTGTGGAGACACCAAACCTATTTCACTGCACTTACCGTTCCAGGCCCTTCGAGTAGCCCTGAGCTAATGACCGCACAGTCAGAGAACATCAGGCAATAATAATGCTTAGCACCTGTACAGAGCACTGCATTTCTCAAAGAACTGTATGAACATTAACACATTGTTCCTTCATTCGGCCCTGGGAAATAGGGAATGATCATCAAGTTGCAGTGGGGGAGGTTTAGATTGGATATTAGGAAAAACTTTTTCACTAAGAGGGTGGTGAAACACTGGAATGCGTTACCTAGGGAGGTGGTAGAATCTCCTTCCTTAGAGGTTTTTAAGGTCAGGCTTGACAAAGCCCTGGCTGGGATGATTTAACTGGGAATTGGTCCTGCTTCGAGCAGGGGGTTGGACTAGATGACCTTCTGGGGTCCCTTCCAACCCTGATATTCTATGATTCTATGATCCCCATCTCATTATGGGAATTAATTCCTTTGGGCTACAATTGAGAAACACCATCCTCTGCTCAGGGGCCTGTACACAAATATTACACTAAATAGAGTGGCCACAGCTCAGACAATGACCCAACTCGGGATCCCTCAACTAGCCTGAGAGCTGTAACCTTCACAGACATATAGACGCTGAAGCCAGAAGGGAGCGTTGTGCTATCTAATCTAACTCCTGCAGAGCACAGGCCAGAGCAGCTCACTCAGTGATTCCTGCAGCAAGCCCACGACTTCTGGTTGAGCTAGAGCACATTTTTAGAAAGACACCTTTATCCTCAAGTGCCTGGGGAAAGAGCCAGTCTCTACAGTGGGCCTGAGAGGCTCACAGATCCTGACTCTGTGGGGCCAAGGAGGGAGCACATTCTGGAGTGGAGGTCAGAACACCCTGACCGCAGCACCTTTCCAACGGGACCCATCTCTGCACATCCCACAAGCAGCAGTATGGCATGGGGAGAGCAGTCACCCCAAACCCCGCATCAGCATGGGGAGAACAGTCAGCAGTCAGCCCAAACCCCGCCTGGGCACGGGGAGAACGGTCAGCGGTCAGCCCAAACCCCACTCTGGCATGGGGACAGAAGTCACTCCAAACTCTGCGCATCAGCACAGGGACAGCAGTCACCCCAAACACCACTTTGGCATGGGGACAGACATCACTCCAAACTCTGTATAAGTTTAAATCAATGCCTTGAAGTCATTTCCGAAAGCAGCAGGGAACAGGGCAGACCTCAGGCCCCCTGCGCTGAATGGGTAATCACATCCTGTGCTGGCTCACACTTCCCAATGTTCTCAAGGTGCCTCCTCTGTCTGCTAAACTCTCCCATCTCAGGATCTCCCAGGACCTCCCTCCTGCCACCTCCCACCAGCAGCCCATCTAAACTCCAACCAGGGAACCTTGCTGCGGCCCCACCACAGACACAACCCTGCATCCTTATGGGTCCCAGCAAGAAACCACAGGTAGATCTGGCATCCTAGGTGAAAACATACTGAGAAAGGTGGCACCTGAGCATGCTGGCTAGCAGCAATATGTGCAGAACTGGCCCCCACAATGCCTCCAAAACAGCCACTATTTCATCTCCTGGTTTCTGAGGATTAGCCCTTTGATAGCTGGAGATTATAGAGCAGCAGGTGGTAGAAAGGGATCCCAATGGGTGCTAGCTGATGCAGCTGGGTTGGAGACTGTTGTATGCGTGGGGGTATTCTGAACAGCAACCCCCCATCATTTGCCTTTGCTGGGTGGCTCAGCTCCCTGGGCGGGATCACAGCGGGGCTGAGTCACAAACAGAAAACAACAACCTCCTCAGCCGCTCTGCTGTGCAGGAGTGGGGAAAGACACATGAGTGTATCTATCTGCTGCAGAGAACAGCAAAGAGCTAAAAATTGAGCAAAGAAATCAAAGCACCAAGCTGCACCACATGGCCAGGCTCTGAAATCTCAAACTAGAAACGTTGCACACCTGGATCCAAAATTACTGCTAGGGCTGGAGAGTTCAAGGGACTGCTAATGGGATACAGAGCCTGTTGCCTCTAGGTCCCCAGTTCAAATCCAGCTTAGGCGACTGCAAACTGTTACCATTAGATGGCAGTTGAGTAACACCCAGCTCTATGCAATGCTCAAGTGCTGCAGTTCTCAAACTTTAGCAACCCGAGGACCCCCATTTTGATTTAAAAATTTTCACAGACCCCCCCGCCCCCCAAGTTGGCTTCTAATTTTCCCTGGGGGTGCTCAACCCCCACTCAGCCCCAGGCCCCGTTCCAACTCCACTCTTCCCCCCAAGGTTCCACCCCACCTCTTCCCACCCCACCCCTCCTCTTTCCCACCTCTTTCCGCCCCCTCCCCCAAGTCCCCGTTCCTCCTCCTCCCTCCCAGTGCCTCCTGCATGCCACGGAACAGCTGTTCAGCGGCGTGCAGGAGACACTGGGAGGGAGTGGGAGGAGTTGATCAGCAGGGCCAGTGGTCCCAGACATGACTTGCAGACCCCTGGAGTACCCTCATGAACCCTCAGGGGTCCACAGACCCCAGTTTGAGAACCACTGCTCTAGAGTAACCTGCTCTCTCCTTTCCTTTGTACAAGGGATAAGGAGGGCCCACAGGTGCTCCTTGGACACAGCAGCCAGCCTCACCTCTGCTGCTCCTCTTCCAGGCGGGTAAGAGTATTCTCCAGTTCTGTGCTGTGGTCATGCTCTGAGCAGCACAGGTGGGATTCTGTGGACTCCAGACGAGTCTGCAGCTGGGAGAGAGGAGTGACACATCAAAAGGGCAAGGATAGTAATGAGGGAGCAGAATGGCTCCCCGAGGACAAAAAACTTCACACAGGACAGACAGAAACAAACTGATAAACAGAAAAATGGAGAATCAGCAGCTAGTAAAACCAGAGACCTTCTGTGAGGCAGAGAACCTCCCAGCCAACTGGGCCACTTTGGATAGACTGTTACCTGCATTTTCAGGGAGTCAGAGCCATTTATTTAAGGTCTTTTCTTTCCAAAGCTGCATCCAGAATCCATTCCAGATAAATACAAAGAGCCAGATTCTCAGATGGTGTAAATAGGCATATCTCAACTGAAATCAGTTAAGCTAAACTGATTTACTCCAGGTGAGGATCTGCCCCAGAAACCCCTTACTGGACTCTAGGGCCCCCATTTCCTCCCCAATGTCACTGGGGCTGAACGCTGTGATGCTGCCTGTGTACGCTGGGGACTGACCATATTTCCCATTTTCCAAAAGGAAGAAAGGAAACACATCCAATCCTGGAGCTTTCTTGTGTTTCCATGGGCAACCACAGGGCCGTGCTGTGCTCTTTCCTTCCTACAGAATTGGAGAAATGCTGAGAAAGGCCCAGTCCAGCAGCACTCCTTGAAGAATGGAGAGTAACAGAGCAGAGTGACTTGCTGTGCGGTGTCTCCGCTGTGGGTTGCAATCCCCTTCTCTCACAGATCTCAAATGCGCCGGGCTTTGTAGTTTTCAAACTGCAGTGAAATCCCACTGTCACCCATCCTGCTCTGCACTGCCCTGTCTGAAGTGTTCAGGCTGTTTACTCGAAGGGTGGTGATGGGATCCGGTTGTCATGCCACCACACCAGGCTGCTTGGAAAGGCCCTAGAACCTTTTCAATTGTATCCACTTTTACTAAGAGAACCATACACAAAGGGGCATTTGCAACAGCTGTTTTGTTAGGTGAGCCTGACTGCCAAAAGAACACAGAAATTAAACACAAAGGCATGATGGGATACTACTACAGTGAAATCCTTGCGGATCTTAAACACAAAAAAGAAGCTTACAAGAAGTGGAAGATTGGACAAATGACCAGGGAAGAGTATAAAAATGTTGCTCGGGCATGTAGGAATGAAATCAGGAGGGCCAAATCGCACCTGGAGCTGCAGCTAGCAAGAGATGTTAAGAGTAACAAGAAGGGTTTCTTCAGATATGTTGGCAACAAGAAGAAAGCCAAGGAAATTGTGTGCCTCTTACTGAATGAGGGAGGCAACCTGGTGACAGAGGACGTTGAAAAAGCTAATGTACTCAATGCTTCTTTTGCCTCTGTCTTCACGAACAAGGTCAGCTTCCAGACTGCTGCACTGGGCAACACAGCATAGGGAATAAGTGGCCAGCCCTCTGTGGAGAAAGAAGTGGTTAGGGACTATTTAGAAAAGCTGGACGTGCACAAGTCCATGGGGCCGGATGCGTTGCATCCGAGAGTGCTAAAGGAGTTGGTGGATGTGATTGCAGAGCCATTGGCCATTATCTTTGAAAACTCATGGCAATCGGGAGAAGTCCCAGACGACTGGAAAAAGGCTAATGTAGTGCCCATCTTTAAAAAAGAGAAGAAGGAGGATCCTGGGAACTACAGGCCAGTCAGGCTCACCTCAGTCCCCGGAAAAATCATGGAGCAGGTCCTCAAGGAATCAATCCTGAAGCACTTAGAGGAGAAGAAAGTGATCAGGAACAGTCAGCATGGATTCACCAAGGGAAGGTCATGCCTGACTAATATAATCGCCTTCTATGATGAGATTACTGGTTCTGTGGATGAAGGGAAAGCAGTGGATGTATTGTTTCTTGACTTTAGCAAAGCTTTTGACACGGTCTCCCACAGTATTCTTGTCAGCAAGTTAAGGAAGTATGGGCTAGATGAATGCCGTACAAGGTGGACAGAAAGTTGGCTAGATTGTCGGGCTCAACGGGTAGTGATCAATGGCTCCATGTCTAGATGGCAGCCAGTATCAAGTGGAGTGCCCCAAGGGTCGGTTCTCGGGCCGGTTTTGTTCAATATCTTCATAAATGATCTGGAGAATGGTGTGGATTGCACTCTCAGCAAATTTGCGGATGATACTAAACTAGGAGGAGTGGTAGATACGATGGCAGGTAGGGATAGGATACAGAGGGACCTAGACAAATTGGAGGATTGGGCCAAAAGAAATCTGATGAGGTTCAACAAGGATAAGTGCAGGGTCCTGCACTTAGGACGGAAGAATCCAATGCACCGCTACAGACTAGGGACCGAATGGCTAGGCAGCAGTTCCGAGGAAAAGGACCTAGGGGTGACAGTGGACAAGAAGCTGGATATGAGTCAAGAGTGTGCCCTTGTTGCCAAGAAGGCCAATGGCATTTTGGGATGTATAAGTAGAGGCATAGCCAGCAGATCGAGGGACGTGATCGTTCCCCTCTATTCGACATTGGTGAGGCCCCATCTGGAGTACTGTGTCCAGTTTTGGGCCCCACACTACAAGGAGGATGTGGAAAAATTGGAGAGAGTCCAGTGGAGGGCAACAAAAATGATTAGGGGACTGGAATACATGACTTATGAGGAGAGGCTGAGGGAACTGGGATTGTTTAGTCTGCAGAAGAGAAGAATGAGGGGGGATTTGATAGCTGCTTTCAACTACCTGAGAGGTGGTTCCAAAGAGGATGGTTCTAGACTATTCTCAGTGGTAGAAGAGGACAGGACAAGGAGTAATGGTCTCAAGTTGCAGTGGGGGAGGTTTAGGTTGGATATTAGGAAAAACTTTTTCACTAGGAGGGTGGTGAAACACTGGAATGCGTTACCTAGGGAGGTGGTAGAATCTCCTTCCTTAGAAGTTTTTAAAGTCAGGCTTGGAAAAGCCCTGGCTGGGATGATTTAGTTGGGGATTGGTCCTGCTTTGAGCAGGGGGTTGGACTAGATGACCTCCTGAGGTCCCTTCCAACCCCGATATTCTATGATTCTATACTATGCAAATATCTTGCGAAGTTCAGAGTAAAACCATTGTATGATTCATCATACCATTTCTCTGCATTGCCAGGACACTGAAAGCTGTACTGACCATCTGTTTCTGGTGCTCAGACTCAGATTTTTTCTCTAGCAGCTGTTGCTCTAGCTCCCCACATCTTTTCTTGTACTGTAGCACCTAGGCCGAGGCGCAGAAAGGGGAATTGGGGGAGGGGAATGAAAGGTTTAGAAAAAAAAGATGAGAGAGAGAAAAGAGGGTAAGAGAAGCCTGAATTAGGATAATTAGTTGGAGCGTTACAGGCACTCAGGGTAAAATGATCAAACATGGGGCTACCACTCTGTCAGTCCATGACGCTTACTGATGACAAAGGGTCAGATTCGATGCCCACTAACATCAATGGGAGTCACTCCACTGACTTCAGTGGGTTTTGGATCATGCCTTTAATGCAATATGAAACTGTCACCTGGAAGACAGGAGAGGCATCTTAATGTGACATAGAGTCCAGTCCCACACAGCCGAGCAGAGTGCCAAGCAAACTCTGTCTCGGAAACCGCATGTTCTCTTCCTAAAGTTGCAGCAGGGCAGGGGGTTACCCAGAGGTGCAGGGGGGGGAAGGTTATCAGGGGTGTGTGTGTGTGTGTGGGGGGGGTTAGCCAGAGGTGCAGCAGGGGTGGGGAAGGTTGCCCAGAGATGCAATGGGAGCGACTACCCAGAGGTGCAACGGGGTTGGGGAGGTTGCCCAGAGGTGCAACGGGGGGTGGAGTGGGTTACCCAGAGGTGCAGTAGGGGTGGGGAAGGTTGCCCAGAGGTGCAATGGGCGGGGTTACCCAGAGGTGCAACAGAGGTCGGGGAGGTTGCCCCGAGGTGCAATGGGAGCAGGAGGGGTTACCCAGAGGTGCAGCAGGATGGGGGGTTGCCCAGAGATGCAGTGGGGAGGGGTTGCCCAGATTTGCAATAGGGGTGAGTGGGTTACCCAGAGAGGGGTTGCCCAGAGGTGCAGTGGGGTGGGAGTTGCCCAGAGGTAAGGCTGCCTTGTTCATAACACTAACAGAAATCAAGAGCATGCTGCATGTCCCTTCCTACTCCCGCGGGAGACACAGTGCCTTGCCCAACACATGCCCGTGTCACAGCCCGGACTCTGAGCAGACTGAGCCTAGTGCCCAGGTCGTGTGAATTGGAGCAGCACCACAGCTGCAGTACAGCTGTTCCATTCAGACCAGATACCCAAAGCAATGCCTGGGCAAACTAGACAGTCAGTTTTTTCTACGCCCCATCCTAGGTACCCTGCGATTTGCTCATTCGGAGGCTAGCATGGGTTTGGGTACCTACCTTGTTCTGGAGCCTCTGGACCAGCTGAGCCTGGCGCTGCTGCCCCTCCTGACAGGCCTGCAGCTTGCACTTATACGCCTTCTCGTCATTCTCGAACCGCTGCCTCATTTCCATGAGCCCCAGGCTGCCATCCGCCTCCCGCTGGGCTGCTTCCACCCGCAGTGCCTTATCCAGCTGGAAAAGCAGAGACCCCCAAGAGCTGAGCTCTGTCCTGAACCTTGGCAGCCCCCGCAGCAGAACAAGGGGCAGCAGAGAGTGGTGGCAGGCCAGCAGCACACAGGTAGACACTCTGTGTGAGCCATGTGAATAATAAACCCCTCCAGGGGGCAGCAGGGATAGGAAGGAAACAGCCAGCGCTGTGTGCACTCCCACAAGGTGCAGGCCTGGTCCCTACCACAGACAGCCATCCACCTCAATCCTGAGTCTCGGTGCTTTGACACAGCATGGTCTCCCCTCCCCGGTGCAAGGCAGGTGGTTTCCTCTTGCAGTCCCCCTCCCTACCTCCTGAAGAGCTCTGGGGCAAGAATTCACTGGTGCAGCTGGCTGGTCACCCTGTGTTGGCTCCTTTAATGCTTTGGCTGAACCCTCCGCAGGGGTCTAGCACACCCTCCCCTCACTCCCTGCTCTTCTGCAGCAGAAGAGAAAGCCAAACTTCCTCCTTCCCAGCCACTCCAGTGTCAGTGCTCCCCAACCTCCCACTCTTGCAGGGAGCTGGAGAACAGCCTCTTTACAGTTGGTCTTTGCTGAAGACCAGAGAATGATGGTTGCCAGGAATTCAGCCAGCGGCGGGCAGTGCTGTAATTCAGAGGACTGCAATAGCCATGAAATGATACCAGTAATAATAATAATTCTTAGCCTGTCCATAGTGCATCTCTCTGTAGAGCTCCCAGGTGGATTCACATCACTATCTCCATTCCACAGGCAGAGCCATATGAACTTAAGGGACTTGCCTAAGGCCACCCACCAAGTCACTGGGAGAGTTGAGCTCAGAACCCAGATCTCTCAACAACTCTCCAGCTCAGATCCCTCACCTTGTTCCAATCTGTGTATCTGTCCATGTGAATACATGTGGCACTATTAACACCCAGGCATTTCCTGCACACCGAGCTCATCAGGGGATCCTCAGTCACTGGCATCAGAATGTTTCCCTTGCAAGTGGCCAGAACAACATGGCTACTCCTTGCTATTAGCTATTAGCAAAGTGTTTTGCACTCAGACACAGCAGACTTGAGGGGTTTAGGTAAGAAAGAATAAGCCATGCGCACAACATGTGCAGCCTGACCTGAAGGAGGCAGGAATTGAGCTGGGTTATTTTTTTTAATTATTATTATTATTACCACAGAGCAGGAGATTTTTATAAAAATACATCATGATGCAAGACCCTTTGGTGCTGACCATAATGCTACTACTACAAACTTTCCAAAGAGACACCATGGAGTAACCAGCAGTAATTTCCTGAAACACTCAGCCTCCCCTATTGGCTAGCCTAATGCAACAGCTGAGTTTGATGATGTGTGTGTAATAGTGATACGCTGGGGCATTTCATACAGTTATTCATGACTCTGGGGAACCTACAAAGGTAACAAGGTCCATTTAGAACCACTTAAGTGCTGAAAGCCCTTCTGCTTTGCTATCAGGGACATCAACACATTAAGATCCTGAGCCTGCAAACACTTTCCCATGACACTTTGCACATGGGAGGAGTCCCACTAAATTCAGTGGGACCTGTCAAGGTTCCTTCCCCACTCTGAACTCTAGGGTACAGATGTGGGGACCTCCATGAAAACCTCCTAAGCTTACTTTTACCAGCTTAGGTTAAAACTTCCCCAAGGTACAAACTATTTTACCTTTTGCCCTTGGACTTTCGCTGCCACCACCAAACGTCTAACCAGTATTATTATTATCAGGAAAGAGTCCGTTTGGAAACGTCTTTCCCCCCAAATCTTACACCCCCTTTCCTGGGGAAGGTTTGATAAAAATCCTCACCAATTTGCATAGATGGCCACAGACCCAAACCCTTGGATCTTAAGAACAATGAAAAAGCAATCAGGTTCTTAAAAGAAGAATTTTAATAGAAGAAAAAGTAAAAAGAATCACCTCTGTAAAATCAGGATAGTAAATACCTTACAGGGTAATTCGATTCAAAACATAGAGAATCCCTCTAGGCAAAACCTTAAGTTACAAAAAGACACAAAACCAGGAATATCCATTCCTTTCAGCACAGTGTATTTTCTCAGCCATTTAAACAAACAGAATCTAACGCATATCTAGCTAGATTACTTACTAAATTCTAAGACTCCATTCCTGTTCTGTCCCCAGCAAAAGCATCACCCAGACAGACAGAGAGAGAGAGGCTTTGTTTCTCCCTCCCCCCAGCTTTTGAAAGTATCTTGTCTCCTCACTGATCATTTTGGTCAGGTGCCAGCGAGGTTATCATAGCTTCTTAACTCTTTACAGGTGAAAGGGTTTTGTCTCTGGCCAGGAAGGATTTTAAAGGTGTTTACCCTACCCTTTATATTTATGACAGGACCACTCATGGGCATAAAGGTACTTCATGTGTCAAAGGGTGTGATTTCACTGCAGAGTTAGCCCAGGCCATCTGCACCCATGCTACAGAGGTGAGGCGTAGGGGAACATGTGGGGTCAAATGCCCCCCCATATTGGCCTGCTGGGGGTTGGGAGGAGGGAGAGGAGCTCTGTCCTCCTGCTGTGCCTGCCCCTGACGTGCTTGACCCCTGTACCAGGCAGCTGGGCTGTGTGGGAAGTGGAGGCGGTGGAAGCAGCCGTTTCTCAAGCTGGCTGCTCTGGGTCACTGCTTTGTGCAGCACGGGGGCTGCCTGAGAGATCCTGGCTGGGGAGATGGTGGGACACACACACACACACGCCTCCACCCCCGCCTGGGCCCAGCTGCTGGGGACAGGGGACAAGTGAGCAGGAGTCCCCTCTCCCCCGCCCCTGGCATGTTTCCGGTTCGCTCAGCTGCAGTCCCTGGTAGCCAGGTCCGTGGCGGGGATAGGGGACAGCCTGCTGCTGCTGCCCCAGCCAGGCTCTCTCTCAGGCAGCTGCTTCACCACAGAATAGTGAGCAGAGCCGCAGGCTTGAGCTACCTGAGAAGCGGCTCCCTCCTGCTCCCCACCCAGGCCTGTCTGCCAGGGAGAGCGACCAAAAGTGCTGGGGGGTACACAGCAGAAGAAGGATAGAGCCCTCCCCTCACAGGTGGGGAGAGCATGTGCTGGGTGCAGGGCGGGGTGGGGTGTCGCTGGGCAGAGGAGATACGTGGAGCAGTCACGTGTTCTCCCCTTTAGATTGTGTCTACCCCTGCATATGGGGAGGTACAAGTCATCTATAGCACAGGTGTGAGCAGCCACACCCTGGTTACTGGGTCCTCACTGGTGCTTGGCTCCCCTGGGTGTCACTTCGACTGCTGGGGCACAGCCCACAGTCGTTAGTATTGCACTAAGCTGAGTGGCTCTATGATTGCTTCCTATGTCTGTCATACTGGGCACGCAGGGGGAATTGTGAGAAGGCACTGAAGGACTATCAGCACTCTGAGGAATTTAGCCTGCATCCTTGCTGCAAAGTGGGCGGCTATCAGCCCGAGTGAAAACAGCACATGGGCTCTAACAAATAATCCAGCCAGTCTGGCTGGGCATGGGCTGAAAGCAACATAAAATGGGAGACAGGTTTGTGTGGGTGGAAAGGAGCGAGTTAGGGGCAATACAAACCAACCCTGTAGGGAAGACAGTGTTTGCAGTGTCTCCTGTTTATTAGTGCCTTGTGCATGCATGCTGCTGTACAGACACTGAGTAGCTGATGATTTATACATTATTTGTTGTTATTATTTTGGAAAAACACCCAGTGCAAAGTGCTCTACAAGCAAGGAACAAAAAGACAGCCCCGTCCCAAAAAGCTGACAAGTTAAATATGTCTAAGGCTATGGTAGCACTTTTGTCAGTAAAACTTAGGTCTCTCAGGGGTGTGAAAAAACACCCCCCTGACTGACCTAAGTTTCATCAACAGAAGCACTGGTGTGGACAGTGCTATGTTGGTGGAAGACATTCTCTGCCCACAGAGCTACCGCCACTTTTTGGGGGTGGTTTGATTATGCCAGCAGGAGAACTCTCTCCCACTGGCATAGAGCGGCTACATGGGAGACCTTACAGCAGAGCAGCTGCCAGTGGCACAGCTGTGCCACTGTAAGGTCTCTAATGTAGACATAGCCTAAGAAACAACACGTGGCTTCAGCTAGATAAACAGATGGAGGAGCAGAAGGACACAGTCCTGGTCTAGTAGAACATAGCCACACACTCAAGGAATCAATTTTGAAGAACTTCAAGGAGAGGAAAGTGATCAGGAATAGTCAGCATGGATTCACCAAGAGCAAGTCATGCCTGACTAACCTAATTGCCTTCTATGATGAGATAACTGGCTCTGTGGATGAAGGGAAAGCAGTGGACGTGTTATTCCTGGACTTTAGCAAAGCTTTTGATATGGTCTCCCACAGTATTCTCACCAGCAAGTTAAAGAAGTATGGGCTGGATGAATGGACTATAAGGTGGATAGAAAGATGGCTAGATTGTACGGCTCAACAGATAGCGATCAATGGCTCCATGTCTAGTTGGCAGCTGGTATCAAGCCGAGTGCCCCAAGGGTCAGTCCTGGGGCTGGTTTTGTTCAATATCTTCATTAATGATCTGGAGAATGGCATGGACTGCACCCTCAGCAAGTTTGCAGATGACACTAAACTGGGAGGAGTGGTAGATATGCTGGAGGGTAGGAATAGGATACAGAGGGCCCTAGACAGATTAGAGGATTGGGCCAAAAGAAATCTGATGAGGTTCAACAAGGACAAGTGCAGAGTCCTGCACTTAGGATGGAAGAATCCCATGCATTGCTACAGACTAGGGACCGAATGGCTCGGCAGCAGTTCTGCAGAAAAGGACCTAGGGGTTACAGTGGACGAGAAGTTGGGTATGAGTCAAGAGTGTGCCCTTGTTTCCAAGAAGGCCAATGGCATTTTGGGATGTATAAGTAGGGGCACTGCCAGTAGATCGAGGGACGTGATCGTTCCCCTCTATTCGACATTGGTGAGGCCTCATCTGGAGTATTGTGTCCAGTTTTGGGCCCCACACTACAAGAAGGATGTGGAAACATTGGATAACGTCCAGCGGAGG